GATTGAAAAAGGAACTTTACTAAACTATCTTATTTAAAACCATTTTACTTGACAAATCATATGCTTTTGTACGTTTCATTTGTGCTGAAATGTATAGAAAAATTGTAAAAGTTCTAGAAAAAAATGTATTTCACTTGAAAACCTAGAAACAAAATGTGGTTTATACATTAGCAGCATGTAACAGTTATTACAAATATAAGCATATATCAAACCGTTAACACTGCAGCATAAAATACTAAATTTCCAAATTCAGTTCTATAATATAAATCTCTTAAGCCAATTTTATATTATTCCAATTTTAATATTGAATATCTGTATTAAATCTTCCCATCTCTTTCTTTCTCCGCTGTTCCTCCTTATCCTCGACTTTCTTTAATCGTTCTACCACATTTTCTTTCCTCTCTTTTGGTAAAATCTCTTCCACCGTCGATTCTCTTCCGTTGATTCCGTTGCATTCCTCACTTCGATGTCCCATACCCATTGTCTTCTCCTATTCCACAGAGTGCACATTTCCCCGTATCTTCTTATCGCCAGAATTTATTCTCATTTTCCGAGCAGCCGCATCCAGCCTTTGCTATAATTCTTTGCTCGCCTCTTCCTTCCCTTAAACAACCTGCATCAATTCTAATTCTCTTGATCTTGATAGTGTATCTTTTTTCTCGCATTCTGTCCCATTGCTGTTATTTTTGTACTTTTCTCCTGGAACAACTTGCATCAATTCTAATCCCCTTGATCTTGATATTGTATCTTGTATCCCGTATCTTCTCTTACTATTATTTTCGTACTTCTACCCGTTTTCCTTTTAGTGCATCTCCTATTACTTTACCTTCTCTCAGCTGGCTCGTTCCTTTTTGACTATAACTATATTCTTGGAGGTGGTCCAACCTCTGTCCGAGACAATGTTTCTATTACTTTGATCAACTTGTCAGATCTAGGAAATGTTTTCATTATTTCCTCGACGGTTTTGATATCGTTTTGCATATGTGATTTAAGAGGAATAAAATATGTTTCTGCGTTAACATTTTTAATCGTTTAGTTAAAATGTCTGCGTTCAAGGTCACGCGAAGGTCGCGCGTTATACATGATTGAATTTGTCTAGGTGCCAGCGATAACTCTACCAAGTCGAAAATAGTGTCATTCAAAGAGAAACTCAGGTGATCTTGACTTTTCGTTTAAAGAAAACGAAGTTTAAAGAATCTTTTTTATTTGTAACCAAGTCGATGCTGATCAACTCTCGTTTCGAACATTCTTTTGTGAGATTGTTGGGATTATTTTGTGGGATACTCTTAGATGATACACCCTGTATAAGGGAAACCAGGAATGGATGACTCCTTTCTCTTAAAAGAACTATCACATCTATGACTAGTGTATTAATATCTAACAAAAAATACAGTATGTTTATAAAAGCAAAAATAAAAGCAGTTAAACATATTTAAGAAAAACAGTTAAATAGCAGTCTGTCCAAGATACAGTTGAACCCTAAAAACAATTGAAAATACAGATATTTGACAACATAATTAAATGGGCAATTTTATAAGACATTATAAAGCAGTGAAAAGCTTGAAAGATTTTCAGTTGAGCATTTCTGATTTATAAACTAAGCTTCACATTTAAAGTACAAATGCAAGTGGGTTAGTACCTATCGAAAAACAATATATTCATGAAAGCAAAAATAAGAATAATTAACACGTTGAACGCCGCACGATTTTATGGAGCAAAATACACAAAATAGAAAAAATATAGTATCAAATCATTTCATTGAATTGCATTATTATTATTATTATTACATGTTCATCTAGCTGAATGTCACTGCGTTATGTAGTATTATTTATAATATAGAAATGTTTTCAAATAATCAACTTTTTAATTGAATGAATTATAGTAATTCGATTTGGTTGGGGGTCATCAGTGACCCCCATTTAACGTGTTAAACATATTTAAGAAAAACAGTTAAATAGTTCTCTGTCAAGATTCAATTTACCCCGAAAAACAATTGAAAACATAGATAGTTGACAATATAAATGAGATCGGGCCATATCAGCTTAGGACACGCCGTTCAAAGAGATGGTATCCACGGAAACCACTACAGTTATGCTCGCTTAAATTTTACAATTTCGGGTCTCACCAGTGAAATTTAGCCGAGCAGAAAAACAAGAGAAAGCTATTTCCTTCCAGGAATTAACTCGGGCACAGCGTAACGAATAATTAACTATTAACAATAAAGAAAATTTGAAAGAATTTCTAAGATCGTTGTGATTAAAATGACGCCAAACACGACGAAGATTATAAAATTGAAAGATTTGAAAAGATTTTTGTTATATAAAATGTTGATAATCATCTAAATACTTTAATTCCTCTTGGCACAGCAATTACTATTGTAGCTGCAGTAAAATATGCTCGTGTACCAACATCTAGTCCTACAGTAAATATATGGTGAACTCAAGCAATAAATCATTGAATCGGCAAAACTAGGCCGATTTGCGTCGTGTTTGGACTTAATTTTAATCAGAAAAATTTCAACAACCCATCGGTATTACATTTGAGAAAGTAAGGTTAAAACCACTAGCACAGCCTGACAAAGGCAGAGAATCGATATAGTGAGTGGAAGTGTAACTATAAAGATGCAATAAAGAAAATTTCAATTGCAGTCATTTTAACCTTACCTTTTCAAATCTAGTTCCAGTGAATTTCTGAGATTGTCGTGATTAAAATGAGTCCAAACACGATGAGAATCGGAGTAGCTTTACCGACTTAATGTAATAACGAAATTAAAGGTTCGTTCCCACCAAATCGGTAAAACTAGACCGATTTACGTTGTGTTTGGACTCGCTTTAATCAAAAGAATCTCAATAAACCACTGGTACTACATTTGAGAAGGTAAATCTGAAATTCGTGAAACTGAAACTTTCCTCGATGCATGTTTATTTTTGACACGTGCACCGTCGTTTTGAAGTCCCACGCCTCGACCTTCGATGCTCGACGGACTGCATCTACCCCGTTTCTGCTCATTGTATTCATTTTCTGTCCCTGTCTACTGGGATCGCGTTACACTGACCTCGAGAGAGCGGGTAGTGGAGGAAGAGTAGAGATGGTCCAATGGAATTTAGCCGAGCAGGTTTTGTAGAATTTAAGCGATCACTTACAGTGACTAGCGTGTAATAGTTAACCCTTATCAGACGCAAGCTTTTCATATATGATTCTCACTAGATTGCAGTTGATTTGGGTAAATATGCGAAAATTACGATGTTAATAATTTTTTCTATATTTATTTGTAGTATCACGATTGTACCATTTAAAGGTAACATTTCAATGACTCCTAAATATTCTTGAATAAATAAATAGAGCGTCATATTGAGTTGTAATTGAATGAACTAACGTCGATGTGAACCTCAAAGTGAGAAACCAAGAGCACTTCGGACAGCAAAGGGTTAACCCTTTGCACTCGATAATATCGTTCATTCTAAATGTCTATTATTTTCTGTTGAAGAGTTGAAACTAATTTATTTCTAAGGTTCATGTGTCGATACCTAATACAAAATTGAATATTGAATATTGAATTTCAGTGTTCATAATTTCTGTATATTGAATCAAATGGCGAATGAGAGTCGCCTCTCGAGTACAAAAGGTAAATTGCTCCGTTGCTGATGCTTAAATGACAAGCAATCGCGCCCACATTTTACAGACAGCGAGTTTCAACATGATCCGTGTCACCACCCACGTGACATACTTTTGTTACTTTTTTACCTTTTCACTCTTTAATGAAAAAAGATCATTAAAACAAAAAGGTTCACATTAAGAAATAAAGGGAGAATGAATTAATGCCAAGTGTATTTCAATATTTGTTGAAAATCGTACTAAGCATATTTATTCAAAGTCATCAGGAAAAATGGAAAAATCAATTTTCTTGTATAAACAGTATTTGCAAATAAGAAGAATCATGGTTTAGCCTTAGTTTGATATAGGACACGTAGTGTAAAGCATATATACTGCATTTTCAATTATTTGTTACAAAATTACTTATAAAGGTAACTACAAAATTATTTCTAGCAAACCCCAAGTGTCAAATTTCTTATCACTCTAACGTATACACAGTCTCGGTACCAATCATCGCGAAATATAACGAAAAGTTAAACTCAAACAATTTTACAATTCCTGGAACATCTCACATAGGGCTCGTAAAGAGGAATTCAACCATTTATAACATTTTATAAATTTATATTGCGACAGAGTTCTCTTGCGATGCGAATAGTAAGGCGCTATCGCATACGCGACGATATATCGTCATTGACGCTTTCCGTAAGTTTCGCTAACAACGATAAATCGTTGTTCGGCACTAAAAGGGTTAAGGGTTAACCGTTTGAGTCCCACGCGCCGCATTCGCGCCGCTTCATGTCGAGAAAACCCAACGCATTTGAACGATACGAACAACTGACGGCGCACTCACAATCTAGCGAAACGCGCACAACTTTTCAAACGTGTATACGTCGCATCGGTACTTTTTTTGTATATAGGTAAACCAAGTAATACATTTTGTATTTCGTTGTTACCTATTATAAATTAATATATATTTATAATAGTATTAACATAGATTAACCCTTTGCGGACGAAGATACTTTGAAACACAAAACCTTTAGCAGATGGAGCTAAATTATATATCAACCGCTTACACAATAGAAAAAACAGAAACTACGTGCTAATCTCTTACTGTTTGAGTAATTAAATCATCTGTTTGCGATTTAGTCTTCGAAACATGAACATTTCATCTCGCCTAAATGCCGATGTTCGTCCGCAAAGGGTTAAGCCAAGCGCTGCCGCGCTGCTTGGCTTTTCTCGACATGAAATAAAAGGAGCGCTATCGCGCCGCTTGCCTTCTTTCGCATCCCATTCAGGAAGCGTTATTGCGCTGTTCGGCTTTTTTCTGTTTGGTATTGAAACGGTTAAAAAACTAAGAAGGTTGCAGTTAAGAATAAGGTGAAATTTTAGTGACCTTTCTGTTTCAGCGGCCGAGTGCAGCGACGCGCCGAAGAAGAAAGGGTTCTTCAAGGGTTTCTGGAAGAGGTCGCGGCATTACTCGCTGGAAAACCAATAGCCCAGGTGCGGCAGGTTGACGGGCCAGCAACGGCACAGGCACGTGTCGAGGCAACAGCAGCACTCTTACCGGCAGCAACGCGTCGCCACCGACACCCTGGCGAACAGTCCTTGCTGCTGCGTCGTCCAGTAGCGAATCTCGATCGAATCCCGGAGGACAACGCCGGTCTCCCTCCTCGCGCGGTTCCATCGACCCATCAGGATCAACTTGCGATGGCGACAGCGACGATCCCTGCGACTGCGACCACTCCGACTTCGAGATCGTGCGTCCGTCACACCGACACCGAGACCCGAACCTCTAGACCCAGAGTTCGAGGGAACGTGTACCACTTTTTGCCACGGGTAAATCCACTTTTCCGTAAGCCTTTCAGTTTCGACCGACTGTACCTATCATCAGTTTCTTCTATCGCGTTTAGCCTCGGCTTCCGTTTCTTTTCCCGCGACCAGGAAACGACTAGCAGTATTCCGAAGGCCATCGTACACGTTGAAACCTGCGGAGATAGGTTTGAGTCTCCCAAAGTTTCACGATACATGATGCACTCGAACAGAAAGTGAAAAATCCTCGAACCTTTCACTTGTAACGATGGGTTCGAGTTTTTCAAAGTGTCTTGGTACATGTTGTGCTCAAACAGAAAGCGAAAAATACTCGAACCCATCACTTGTAACGATGGGTTTGAGTTTTTCGAAGTTTCATGATACGTGATGCACTCGAACGGGAAGTGAAAAGTACTGGAACCCATCGCTTGTAGCGATGGGTTTGAAACTTTCAGAGTCTCATGGTACATATTGCACTCAAACAAAAAGGTTGAAACCCATTGTAGGTAGCGATGAGTTTGAGTCTTCCAAAGTTTTATGATACATGTTGCACTTGAACAAAAAGTGAAAAAGGCTCAAACCCATCGCTTGTAGCGATGCCTGCATCAACGCATGTTTCAGCGTGTATGGAGGACCTTAAGGGGTTGCTTTCGAAAAGTAAGTTACACTCAGATGAGGAAGGGTGGAATATTTAATGTTTCAGGATGTTCTTTTTTACCTGAATTTAATTTGCAGAATATTCTTCTAGGCGATCCTCATTTTTTCTTGGTTAATATATTTTATATATAATTACATAATTTCTGTATATGCATAATCTCTTGGATATAGCTTTAGATCTTGTATGTCTTCGCTGAAAGTTTCAGTTTGAAATGGTTCGTTGTTATATTGTTTTTTTCAAGGTTTTGTTCTATTTATTGGGAAATATCGAAATTGCGAGATTTATTAATTAAATAGATTCTCCTAGGGAGAATGTTGTTATTTGATATAGAAGTTGAATTGTTTATGAATTGGAAGACTTTGATGTTAATGGACTCGATATTTTATTGACAGAATATAATTCAATCACGACGATCTGTCATATCTAAAATAAAAAATTACAAGCAAGTAATTTAATTATTCAAATAACAGATCAATTTATAGTTTTCTTCTTTCCTAGTGTTCTAGTGTTTTACACATAATCTTCTTAGGCAAATTGTTTGTAACGTTTCAAAAAATCATCCTTAAATAGTTTACCATAGAATGAAAGACAAATGCAACATCAAGAATATGATTTCTGTCGACAACACTCTCCTCATTTTCTCTTATTTTCTTTACAATCAACTTACAAAAATCAATATTTATCTAATTTATAAACAAACAAAACTTTCGATAAAATTTGAATGAAGTTGCTTTTGGAACATTTACATAATCATTACTAAAATCATTATTTGAGCCCCTCAATGAGCAAATCGATAACTCCACAAGACAAAAAGTAGAGAAAAGTGATGCAACAGTTATATATTAATTGTTAAAATTTCTCTTTAACTGCAAAATCAAATAATCATTGTAGAATACATTTTACTTTACTATTACAGATGTAGTTTAGATCTATGAAACATTTAAAATGCATAAAGTAATTTATTCTTGAAGTAATTTTTATTATCATTGCAATTTTTACACGGCCTAAAAGACTTTTCATTATTTCATGGTACCACACCCTGTTCTAATTTTTATTTCAAATACATAAACTTAAGAACCAATAAAACGCTTTAGTGATAAAATTTTTAAAACTCAAAAACTGGAATTAATCGATTCAGCCAGAACTCTAATTTCAAAATTAACACTAAAACTACCAAGCAGTTAAATTGATCACAAAATTCCTCTATAAAAACTCCAGGAATGCCTCTATCGAGACTGCAATCGATTCACAATTCATTATACGTATTCCTAAATCAATTTCTCTAACAATTTCTCACATCAAAACATCTGTTATCTTTTCAATAATTGCAAAATGAAGAAATCAGGAATAAGTCATTTTGTCTGGTAGTTTCAGTGTTAAATATAACCCCTTCCATACGACGACTGAGACTCATGATGAAGATTTCTGGATCAATTTACCAAAACTCAATGTTGTTCATCTCCCACGAATCAAAGCAAAAATCTATTTTGCTATTATTAATGTATTATCTTCAAATGAAATTTCCACTTGAAGTAGAACAGAAAATTTTGTTACATTTCTTCAAACTGTCGATAGTAGCTACACGTGTTCAATAACGAAAGTAAATAATACGCCAAAGGGTTAATTATTAGATATTTGAAAAAATCTTGGAAATAAATAATAACAGGCGATAAGTTCCAAGCAAGTGTAACTTACTTTTCGAAGGTCCCCAGTAAATACACGCGTCATCGATGGGATCGAACGGTCCGTTCGCACAACTAGACACTAGCCGTGATAGAGGCTCGCTCTTCCAGGCTGCGCGCGAGTGCTGAAACGGTTAGGTCTCGAGCTAACCGTACGACGTTTCAACTGCGTTCGCTTTCCCAGATAATCGCGTTCGAAATAAGGTCGACCGGTTGATTCGCAGTGCCAGGAAAACGCACCGACACCACCCCTGCCTCGTCGCGTTCGAGGCAGCACCTTTCTCTTTCGTTCTCATCTTCCGTTCTACCGTTTTCCGTTTTTCTTTTCTTTTCACACGCTACACGAAGAGATTCTAGGTAATCGTTTGCTTTCAGAGGCACTACGTTGGATGACCTTGACCTTAACACTTTTTGTCGAGGACATTACTCTGAATTGCTTTTCCTAGTAACTTCTGTTTACTCGTTCTAGTGACTGGTGGTCTGTTATGGTTTTCGAGGTATTTGTAAATAAGTGATTTTGCTGGTATATGTCATTTCTTCGACATTCGTGGAAAAATCTCTCGTGGTCTGTATAGTTTTTGAGATATTTGTAAAGAAATGGTTTTGGTGGTTTCTCGTGAGTATTTGTGAAAAATGGTTCTGGCGGTATATGTAATCTTTTACGTTTTGGTGGTTTCTTGTGATTTTTGAAGTATTGTGAAAACGTTTCTGGCGGTCTGCATAGTTTTTGAGGTATTTGTAAAAAATGGTTTTGGTGGTATACGTAATCTTTTAGATATTCGTGGAAAAATGTCTCGTGGTCTGTATAGTTTTTGAGATATTTGTAAAGAAATGGTTTCGGTGGTTTCTTGTAATTTTTTAGGTATTTGTAAAAAATGATTCTGGTGGTCTGTATAGATTTTGAGGTATTTGTAAAAAATGGTTTTGATGGTCTATATAGTACTTGAGATATTTGTAGAGAACGTTCCAGAATTTTGGTAAGAAGAAGGAGCGTGGTTTAATAATAAAATAAGAAATATAAAAAAACGAAGTGGAAACATTATTGAGTGCTATCCACACGTGTGAAACGCAAGTATCATTAAATTTGCCAGTTGGCTAAAGAGCCAGTTGTAAATGTAACGTAGAGGAAAAGAAAGGAAAATAGAAATTTTGGTAATTGAAGATGTTTTTGGAAAAAGGATCTATGGATTCGTGAGGTCCTCCTTTGATAAATCGTGTAATTGTAAGTTAATCAACTATCATACGTTTAAGAATATTTTTGTAAAATTTCATTTTTATGACCTACGTAATTAATGATTCAAACATATCAATCTAGTGAGGAAGCTAAAACTAACATTTCTAACGTGATTTATTCGATTCGTCATTTCATTTTAAACATTCTTAATTACTTCCAATCAGTATACCCTACCGAGTTCGATGACCTTGGAATATATTTTCAAGGACACAAATGCAAATCACTAAAAAATATATTCAATATTACATGCAGATTATAAAAAGATTATAAACTGTGTTTAGCATTTGTTATTAATAATAAATTGAATAATTAAGCCGTTCATTGATTGCATTAGTTAACAGCACAAAACAAACGGTCCAGAAAAATAATGTAATGTACACATCGATTTTTCAAATTTTCCTTTACATGCAAAATCGAATGCATCGAATAACATATCCTTGAAATAATCTTCATTATTATTACAATCTCTGTATGAAAGGAATTCTTATTTTCTCCTTGCACCAAACCCAATAACAAATGCATATTAAACATTAAATTGAATGTCGATTGAACCCTTTGGCAACAAATTCAAACAAGTTCAAAAAGGTGAGAACCTGATCAACCAGATTAACCAGTTTATTCAACAGCCGTATCAACCATCAATTATACTCACTCTCTATCTATTAACAAATCCAAGTACTCGTCAAACGTAACCTCACTTCAACCTAATCGTAACCCACAACTAGAAAGAATACATAACGCGCTAAAAATATTTCCACGAACATCCACGAGTATCTCGAAAACTATAATAGACCACCGATTAGGTCTATTAGGTTATCAGGAAGAGTAACTCAGAACCGTGACCTTGACTATACGGATCAAGGTTAAGGTCAGCGCCGCGACGTGTCCCTGAAAGTAAATATTTACCGATTCCAGATAACGAAGTATTAATTATCTCGTATCCGATACAGTCCGTATATTTTATAACGTCGTCGACGTTGTGCGTAGACGATGCGACGACGACGAACGGATCCGTTCGTCGTATCGCAGCCAAACACACACAAAAACAAAGCCACACTACAT